ACTGCGCTCGTGGCGCCCAGAACCCCCACCGTGTCCTGGGCTGCATCCCCAGTGGTATGACCAGCAGGTTGAGGGAGGGCATTCTGCCCCTCCGCTCTGCTCTAGTGAGACCCCCCTGCAGTGCTGCGTCCAGCTCGGGGGTCCCCAGGACGAGAAGAACGTGGAGAGGCTGGAGCACCTCTGCTATGGAGACAGGCTGAGAGAGGTGGGGTTGTTCAGCCTGGAGAAGAGAAGACTCCAGGGAGACCTTAGAGCACCTTCCAGTCCCTAAAGGGGCTCCAGGAAAGCTGGAGAGGGACTGTTCATCAGGGAGTGTAGTGACAGGACAAGGGGGAAGGGGTTTAAACTAAAAGAGGGTAGATTTAGATGAGATATTAGGAAGAAATTCTTCCCTGTGAGGGTGTTCAAGGCCAGGTTGGGGCTTTGAGCAACCTGGTCTAGTGGAGGGTGTCCCTGCTCATGGTGGAGGGGGGTGGGTGGTGGAACTAGATGATCTTTGTGGTCCCTTCCAACCCAAACCATTCTATGATGATTCTATGCTTGGGAGGGGGGAAGAAACCATCCTAAAGTGGTCTTTGGCTTTCCTGAGGGTAAATTCACATGAATTTATGCTTTGGCTTTATACTTTAAGACTTCTCTGTCTCTTTTCTGATTTGCTTAGATAATTTATTCACACTTCAGCTTGTCAGACAGTGACTCCTGAAAGTGCTGGTCACTTTGACCAGCCTTTGCAGTCAGGAAAAGGGGCACTGGGGCTCCAGCTTTCCTAGATACTAGATAAATATAGATAGATCTGGTCCTACATGATTAACCTCTTCATGTTGTGAAAAGCTTAGGAAAGGCTTCTGGTCAGGTAGAGTCTCCTAATTGCCTGTGGAGGTTGGAGGGATTCAGGCTGGCTCTCTGTCTATTCCAGGTATCGGATCGGGGACTTTCCAGGACTCTGTGTGTGGCTGCCATCCAAAACTGAAGGAGAATGCCCATCTCTGCTGCATTCTCCGCCTGAAAACATCACCGGGGGCCGCTTTACTAGCTAAACTGTAGTAGATCTGAGGTAACATTTATAGCAAGAACTTCCTGGGTTCTCCTCCATCCCCTCAGCCAGACACCCCAGCCCCCAGGGAACGTCTGCCTGGGCTGCGATTAGTGCTGAGACCGGGCGAGCGAACGCGATGGGATGTGTGTCTGGGTGAGTGATAAAGTTGTGCTTCTCGCCAGGCCTTAGCTCTGGGCTGGCACTGGCATTGCTGTCCTTAGGTGCCTCTCGCACAGACCTGCAGGATATCGAATGTAAATGGCGAGGTTTCCCAGTCTAATAAAACAAGATTTTCTGTTTGTTAATTAGGTGAAGACCACAAAGCCATTAAAGTAGCAGCCTGTCCTACCTAGCGCGTATCGTCAGCCAAACCCAGAGCATCCCCCACAACGAAGGCGCTGAGCGTTGCACCTCTCCCACCCTTCAGTGGGATCCCTGGGCTCAGGTGAGGAACGTCAGAGGTACGGAGCCCTCCCCCTGGCCATCATGGAGCCCACAGCTCACAGCCAGCAGCAGGCAGCTACCCCTTCCAGCACGGAGACAACAGAAGACATTGCCTCCTGTTTAAATGCTGCTGTGAGGAACAAAAACCAAGAACGTGTGCTGGAGCTGCTGGAGAAAGGGGCGGATGTGAACTCCAAAGTAGCGTTTGGCTGGACACCATTGCAGAGTGCTGTGCAAGATAACAACGAGGACCTGGTCCGGCTTCTGCTGGACAAGGGTGCTTGTCCACATGCCAGGAAGGACAATGGTGGCACTGCATTTACTGAGGCAGCGATAGTGGGAAACGTGAATATACTGGAGCTCCTCCTTGATCGTGGGTTAAATATTAATGACTGTGACGACAACGGCTTCACGGCTTTCATGGAGGCTGCGTGGTATGGGAACGAGAAAGCCTTGGAATTCCTGTATAGCAAAGGAGCAGATGTGAATTTGAGGAGGGTAGTTAACGAGGAGAAAGCGAAACTGCATAAAGGAGGTGCGACAGCACTGATAGATGCTTGTAGGAGGAGTCACTTCTCGGTTGTAAAAACTCTTGTCCAAGAGATGGGGGCTGACATGAACATTTGTGACAACAAAGATAGGAATGCCTTGATCTACGCCCTCCAGGAGGGCTATGCCAAGGAGAGATACGAGTCGGCTGTCTCCATAGGCCTTTTCCTGCTGGACCAGGGTATTGATGTGAACAGCAAAGACGAATGTGGGAAAAGTGCCCTCATCCTAGCTGTTGAAATGCAGAGCCTGGAGTTGGTGGAAGCTTTATTGGAGAAGGGTGAAATAGATATTGATGATGCAGATGAGGAGGGCAAGACAGCACTGATGGTGGCTGTAGAGAAAAATAATTACAAGATAGCAGAGTTGTTGTGTAGAAAAGGAGCAAGGACTGATGTTGGGAACCTTATTGCTGTTGCAAATAGGAACCGTGCTCACAAGGTGGCAGAGCTTCTTCGCCAGCATAATGCCAGGTTTGTTCCAGAAACCCTTGAAGACTGGGAGCCAAACAGCAGACGCTGGAGGGACCAGCTGAAAAATCTTTATAAAATATATCGCCCTATGATTCACAAACTGAAGACGTTTCAATACATCCAGCAAAGAATTCAGAACACTTCCCAGGGTGGCATCTACCTGGGGCTCCACGGTGAGACAGAGGTAGCGGTAAGAGTATGCCGCAGTACGGCGGGTGACAAAGAGACAGAGTTCTACAAACAATGTGGTAACTGTGAACATCTGCTGAAGCTCTTCCAGTCTGAGAAGGCCAAAGGCTACATGTATTTGTGCTTCCCTCTCTGGGAGAAAAACCTTGAAGAACGTCTGCAGGAACGAGAAGACCAAATGGATTACAAAGATGCTCTGCGGATGATCTTCCAGGCAGTGAGAGAGCTGCACTCCCTTGGATTTGCTCACCAGGATCTGCGTCCCAGCAACTTTTTCATAGGTTATGTTTTGCTTTCTCAATGTTTTCATTTTGCTTTCCTGTTACCCATATTTAGAGAAGATGCTTCATAGCCATCTGTAAAAAACCAGATATGAAACACGAGTGCAGATGTCTTTATGCAGAATGAGGTGTCTGTGGCATTAGCTCTGCTCTTTGAGTAAGTATAGGTATGTTCACAGGGAGCCACAGAGGGATGAACAGAACAGCTTTCCGTGTCTCATTGGATCTGCTCTCCTCTCCAGGGCTTTGCAGACAGATCAACCCACAGCAGATCTCTTGAGATTTGTTTTCCAAAGAAGGGGCCGTCCAGAAGTCAGTGACAGACTGTATGAAGGCTTTCCACCATTATTTATTAACAATTTCTCTTATTTCCTCAGATTTAGTTGGCAAAATTTACTTGGCGGACTTCGATAATAAAAGAAAGTTGATTGAAGGCAAAAAAGAACTTGTAAACTCAGATTTAGAGGTAACTTCCCTGTGAATCGATGTATGGTTTAAAATTTCAGGCGCGCTCTGCTATTTTCTGTTGCTCTGAATCCTAGGGGAAGCCTTTCTGCATCCTCAGCTGGAAAACCCCTTGATTTTGGGGAAAGCCCATAGAACAATAGACACCGCGTAAGAATGGGAATGATTAGGATGTGAGGCCGTGGCTGGTGCTGGGGCATCCACAGGTACCCGTGGGCGCGATTAGAGCGTCTGTCTCCTCTGTCGTCGCGCACGCAGCTGCAACGTTTGCGTTTGTACGCTTCTGCACACCCGTAGGCGCGTGCGGGTGTTCACAATACAGTTTGCTCATTTAGGAATGCTCGTCCTCTTCCGTTTGGTAGGCAGGTTCGTGCGCCTGGCACGTGAGCGACGATGTGTTTCTTTGCAGGCCCTCAGCAGGCTCATGCTGTATGTTTTAACGGGGGGTAAGAAACCCCTTCAGCAAGTCAGTACCAAGGATTTGGCTGCTGATTCCCCAGATTACGAGGAGGCTCTGGACCTTGTAAGTAGCCTGGGCTCTCATGATGAACGAGGCTTGGAAGGTTTGAGCAAACATCCCTATTTCTGGAGCAAACAGACGTAAGTGCTGGGAGTAGAAGGAAAAGCTTTCGGTACGGGATGTGCCTGTAGTGCTGGGAACGGCAACGTCCCGTTGCAGCTAACGAAGCTCATCATTCCATAGCAGGTTCAACTTCCTGAAGGGTGTATGGAATAAAATCAAAGATCTCCACAAGCGAAAAGCTGTCTTTCAACCTCCTAATGCTACTGTAGTTTTTCCTTACCCGTCGTGGACCCAGGAGGTAATCCGCTGCTCTTTGGATGGAGAGGAGGTTTGAGGTTGACTTTCAGGCAGAAGCTTTTCCTGAGTATTTCACAGGCCCTATTTAAAGCCGTGACTGGAAAAAGTAGCCCCGCGCGAATACAGATAACTGGGGAAACAATTAAATCTAAGCCACGTAGTCAAAATACACCAGACTAAAGACGTTGATGCTAAAGGGAGCTTCTGGTGACTGGGGTGGTAGTAGGGGATGGTGGTTCTAGAATTAGCTGGCAAATCTTCAAGGGTGTTTATTGGTCACCCCTTAAGACAAGGACCTCTGGCCCTTGTTGCCAGCAAATTTCTGGCAAAAGTATTTTGCTAGATCGGCTCAAAAGCGGTGAGACCAGGCCTGCTTTTGCAGGTAGCATCCTGGGAAGAGATGCTGCATCGTTTGAGATCTGACAGTCTCAGTTCAGGAGGGCAGTCCGTGTGGCCCTCTCGACAGTGACACAGTTAAATCAAGACTCTTGAGTCCCTCCTGCCTTCCAGGCGTGCACGAAAATCTCCTGTGCCATGTTGACAGTCCTAATAAGAGTGTCATGCCCTAGCAAAGCAGGAGAGGAAACACTTAGCAGAATCAGAAGGCCTGCCCTGCAGAGCGAACTCTTCTGCTAATGGTGGGGAAATACGCTTTTAAGGGTCACAAGATTTATTCACACAAGGTGATGTCCCTGCAGAAAGGCAGCGGCTGTGGTGAGTGGAGGTAGATGTGCCACTTTCGTGGTGTGTGGAAGGTAGAGAATAATCTATGTTCTTTTTTTCAGATTGACAGAGAAGTTTTGAATATCATGAGAAATCCTAAGAAAGGAGGAGCATGCCATTATAGCAATGATGTCACCGACCTACTGAGGTTCATGAGAAACCTGGATGAACACCCAGATACCAGGTACATGTTCGCATCCTTGCCCCTGCCACAGTTGCACTGCAGGGAGCATCTGGGTATCTGCAAGCGTCAGTGAGTTTGAGAGCAAAATCTTCTTCAGATGGTTTTCCAGAAGGCTGAATGCAGCCAGGATAGATGTGGGAGATAGCCACTCTAATGAGATAAGCTTTAATGGACTGTCTCCTCCGGCAGCACAATAGCGTGTGAAAGATTTTGCAGCAAGCAGTCTGGAGTCAGCCTTCAAAATCACCTTCCTGAGGGTAAGAAAAGGCAGTTAGCTCACAGGATTAGACCTCAGATTTTGAAGCAAAATCTGACTCCCAGATCATCTCCCACATCACTCCCAGAACGTCCTCAACCAGAGCCTTCTGCTCCAGAGGGGATGGCAGCAGCTCCAGAGAAGTGGTGGCAGCTCCCTCTGCACTCTTGCCTTTGCAGAGCAGCCGGTGGGGTGGAGAGGTGTCTCTGTGACAGCTGGGGCAGGTCATGGCTCGGCAGCAGGGGACACCGTGAATGCGTCCTTCTGGGCTGTTGCTTTTGCTGTAGGCTGGTGGTTTTTTGCTATAACTCCAGGAGGGTTTTTAGATCACTCTTAGATATTTGTATCATCCTTTATACCTTTGAAAAGCCTCTTATCTACCTTGCTAATAGTTCCAAAATGCTGATGTTTACTGTGCTCAAGTTCTTTCAGATACAGATCAGGAACCACGGGGTCCTGTTAGAAGATCCTGTTAGGAGGTCTTGACTCCTAAAGAGCTGCCAGAGTCTCCAACCCTCTATAATCATGGGTGCTTACATGTGAGGTTAGAGGTGGTGTTAACTCCTAGATGGTTTCACTGACGCTGGTGGCCAGCACTGCTCTTCAGTGAAGATGCAGGTGGGATTAGGCAGATGAAGGTGCTGGAGGAATAACAAAAAAAGTGGATTGAGGAGCTTGGGGAAGGTATAGAAAAGTTGCAGCTCAAGGATTTCTAGGAAACCCTCCTGTGTTATCAGAAAGCCTCTGGAATGGGTTTTCCTCTGCAAGGGAAGAACCAGGGCATCCTGCACACTTGGCTCCTTGGGCAAGCTTTAAAAATCCACTTTGGTTTTGTTCTCTTTCAGGATCAGCGAAATAATAGGAGACTATGCCAAGTATTTCTTGAAGATTTTTCCAGCACTTACCATTTATGTCTACAACAGTTTACGCCAGAATCCCAAGTGCAGTCACTTTGCAGACATTCAGGACCCTTCTCTGTAGGATGTCATTGCCTCATATACCATGTCTGATCCCACCATCGCTGCCTCTGTTTTATTCCCTATTTCTTCATCTGCAAAAGAGTTGGAAAAAAGTGGGTAAGGAGATGAGAGCGAGCACATGCAGGGACAGAGCACGGAGGACTTTTAGTCTAAGAAATGAAAGATGCTTCAGAAGTGTTTGACGTAACAACCGTGAGCTTTGGGGAGGAACCAAGTTGAGTGCTAGCCCAGGTCCCCCTTGACTACCTCTGTCCCTCTGGGTTTATCTGTCTCTGAGGTGGAGATCAAGGCCGTGATCCTTACGGAGAGCAGGGAGATGTGGGACAGCCCCATATACCCAACACATCTGGGAGGCAGGAGAAGAGCTCAGGCATTGCCAGACAACGTGGGATTCTCTGATAAAGGAAAAGGCGTTTGAGCTCCTTGCTAGGGACAGTATTCCCTACAGCTTGCACTGATGAGCCGCTCATCTACCCCTAGAAAGGCACGGATTCTCTCTTTTCAGTCTTTCTGAAACGCAGCAGCTAGAAAATGAGATGCCTAGGCAGTGGTCTGGCTGCCGTCGCCCTTGGCCCGTTACCCCTCTGATCTGGTAGAGGCACGCTCAGCCCAGCCTGCTGGGACCTGAACGACTTCTTTTGGGGGACGCAGGAGATGTTTCCGTGAGGAACGGACACGAGGAGCATGATCTCACTAAACTCTGCTCCTGTGAGTAGTCCTGACTCACTTGGAAAAGGTCGCTGACGTCAAAGGGACTGCAGGGACCCGTTCCTCCCAGAAAGGACGAGCTCCGTGGCAGGCTGCGACCGCAAGGCAGGACACGCACAAGCACTCCCTGCGTCTCCAAAATGGTGCTGCTGGTGGTGTGTCACTCTCCTCCTGCCAGACTCAGCTCCCTTGCGCAGAGCTGGTGCCCATACAGCCGTAGCACGCAGCCACCTCAGAGCTTTGACAGTGGAGGCCCCGTGGCACAAACCCATGTCTGAAATCCTACGGCGTGCAACGTGTGTCTGATTGTCCACGGGCTTGCTTGCTTCTCGGCTAAAGCTCTGATTTGCACAATGATTATATGTTGCTTATGGAAATATTTTTCAGCTGTTGAAAGGGTTTTTAATTTTTTCTTCAGACTGAGATTGTTATTCTTACGGTTAGCCTATGGAGAACCAAACTTGGAATAAACTTGCCTGGAAAACTGACTCGTACTACGCTCATTTATGAATGAGGTCCCCCATCCTCTCTGCACAGAAAGAATCTGCAGCGCTATAAAATACCCAAAAGGCTGGGATTTTTGGTCTCCCTGGGGGGATACCTCTTGGTTGTTTAGGTAAAGTGGTAGACAATTTTGTCACTGCTCAGATGAATTGCTTCTGGCCCATGTGAGTATCTGATGGGAAAAGACGTTAGGAAGTACCGAAGGCTTCCTGTGCTCAGAAGCAAGCTGTCTCTTGTGAAATAACGGGCTGAATGGTGGGGGTTTTGCACTGATTTTGTGGATGAGTTGAGGTGCGAAGGTGAGCATCAATGCTTGCACGTGTGTGTTTGCGTACACGTAAAACTCCGGGAGTTGGATGTGTTTGACCCATCTCCTCTACAAATGAACGGCCTCACTGAGCCCTGTGCACCCGCTGAGCTGTGAGCGTGTATGGGTGTAGGTACCTGCAAACCAGCAGGTCTCTGCAGGAGATGGGTTGCAGACTGCCACGCGCGTGCTCACGGCTCAGGAGGTTCGTGTGCCAGCCTGCATCAGTGGTCCTGCCTCAGAGCAAAGTCCTTCTGATGGCCTTGGGAACCTTTTAAAATACATCAATGTAACCACAAGAAAGCGTGACTATGCAACTGTTGATGAGGTGCCCTTAGAGAAAATGCAACCAGGAGAATGTTGATGCCTCTAGCGTCAATGCTTGTATTTTTTTTTTCCTTTCCTCCCTGCTGCGTTTGGGGTTTTTGTTCTCTTTCTCATGCCCAGAAAGCAGGAGGACACCCAGAGATGCGTGTCTGGGTCCCAGCAGCGTGGGAAGCAGGGGTGCTGTGGGGAGCGTGGTGGCTCTGTGCTGCAGGAGCACATTGCTGCTCTTGCGTGAGGAGAGGTGAGGCTGTGAGCTGGGCTCCTTCAGCCTCTTGGATAAACGTCATGTTTCCAGCTTGCTTTGACCTTCGCGTCTTCTTGCATCACTCTGCTGTTTTGCTAAAGGACTGTGACTTGGCAGCCTTAAAAGGCTGTGGAAGGGCCTTCCTGAAAGCGGAGAGCGTTCAAGGCTGTCCAAACCAGAGCAATGATTAAACCCGTGGAGGCTGTGACTTGACTCTCTGGGGCAATCAGGCTGCTGGGAAGAATTTCCAGGGAAGGCTCGTGTGGTCTGCAGGGCTGTGACCTGCTTTCCGAGAAGCCGGAGGTGCCGGCAGGCTGGTGTCAGAGGAGAAACTTGATCTGTGCACCGCATCTGCAAAGCTTGTTGCTCGTAGAGCAGGGGAGGGGGAAAAGCAGTACGGGAACCAACGCTGGGGAAAACACCAGGCTGCCTCTGCTCCTCGCAGGGTCAGAGAGGATGGGCGAGTGCTCGGCGAGAGGCCAGGCAGGATGGGAAACCAGCGGCAAGGACAGCTGGATAGTACTGCAGCTGAGCGGTACGGCAGTGCCTGATCTCGCGACCCGGGGGTAAAGGTGTCCTGGGACGCCGGGGCAGAGCCAGCTGCCGCAGTTAGTGCTGCTTGATGTGCTGGTGGCTCTCAGCACTAGTGCCCATCTGGGAGGTGCTGCCTGCCTTTGCCTCGTACAGGCGGGCTCGCAGACCACGCACGGTGCCCAAGGGCGAGCCGATTTGGCCCTGCGCGCTTCGTTCCCCTGCTGCCGTGCCTCTGTGGTGTGCCTTCGCTGTGCCTCTGCCTTTTTCCCCGGCTCCTGCTGGGCGACCCCAGGGGCAGCGGGCTCAACCTGATGCGATGGGATCAGGTGCTCCCCATCCTGTCACTTGTGTGCTGAGGACACGTTTGTGTGCGCGGGGATGGCCCCGGGTCAATGTGTCTCATCTGCTGCACTGGGGGGGAAAAAAAAAAAAAAATCCACAGCAGCAGTGGAGTGAAGATTGCTTTTAGCTGCGGTTTTGCTGTGATGAGCTTCAGGCAGATCCGTGAAGCCTTCTAGGGACCAGGCTCAGCTGGGCTCAGGCTGCAGAGCCTGAAGTGTTAGTGCAAAGCACACAAAAATGCAGCTAGCTTTTGGGGCTGAAAGCTTTTGGGGCATAAATCAAGTTACAGCACAAGGGCAACTTTGAGAAGCTGGTCAGAGTCCAGGTTGTAGGAAGCTGATGCCACTCCTAAGCGCCTCATTTATTGAAATGTTGTTGGACTTTGGGTTTGTTTGGTTTTTTGATCCTCCAGAAGCAAAGCGTTGATAATCATAACTGACAAATATGAAACGTGTCGTCCTCTGCCTTAAATGCACCTGTGTTATTCCCAGCATGCAGTCTTCTAGGATTTGAGGGTTAAAAAATAGCTGAAAATAGCCCAAAGGTTACAAAGCTGAGAGCTTGGCGGGAGCTGTCAGATGCAAGGTGTGATAAAGGTCATGGTCTTTTCTTCAAGAGGTCCACAGAACATTGGGGATTTCTGCGGTGACTTGGCAAAGCCGCTCTGACTCACTTTCGCCTGGGGAAAATGAAGGTCTTTGATATGATTTGGTTAGTGCTGTGTGAGCATACTGGCTTTAAAAAAAACTATCACGTCAAGGCCCCGAGTCAGGCATGAGCTGATTTTGACTGGAAAATCGGAAAGGCTCTGGCAAGGCAGGCACCATCTCACCACCCAGGGACAGCTGAGTAGTAAAACCAGGTGGGATCTCTTAGCCTTGCCACCCATGGGAGGTATTTAATTTGTGTGGAAAGCATGGGGGGGTGAGGGGCTGGGACAAGGTTGTGAGATGTTCTGAGCAGAGGAAAGCAATCTTGGTGAGAAGCGTGGCCCCTGTGCAGCAGGGCTCTGGGGACCAGTGGTCTTTGAGGACCCCCCTATCCTCAGGCAAAGTATTTATTGTGACTATTTTCTGGCTTTGAGGACCTTCCAAATGTCTTTGAAGAAGACTTCAAAGGTAGTGGTGTGCTGTGTGTGCCCAGTGTGATTTATTTATGTTGTTACTGGGTCCCAGCTATTGGCAATGCGGTCTTCTATAGATACACGTGAAGAAAGAGACTGTTGTGTGGACAAGGGTATCTCCTTGGGTGGAAATGTGTTGTGGCACATCCCTGCTGTTGTCACAGAGGTGCAAACTGCTATGCTGTGTTACCAGGCAGGCTGGAGGATGCTGTGAGTTGCTTTATTTTTAGGTCTTATTGCTGATTAAGTGCAAACTTTGCAGTGTGTCCAGACTGCTCAGCTTTCTTGGAGCACATCCGTATCCTGCTCGGTGTGGATGGTAGGTTGGGAGGTCTGTCCTTCCCTCGGTGCCTGCAGGGAAGGGAGAGATGTTATCTCGGTGGCTGCTGCTGCTGGAGGCAGGGTGTGGGTGATCAGGGATGAACAGCACGGCTGTGTGCTCCCGGGGGGTGTTTGGGGCATGGAGAGGTGCAGCAACTGGGGATTTTCTGTGAAGGTTACTGGAGATGGTGGGGGTGACCAGCATCCTGCACAGACCCACCCACTTGGCCTTTGGGTTTTAAGGGGAGTCATTGGTCTGCTGCTGCACGTGCTGGTGTGGTTTGGGGGAGGTAGACTGCCTCTGCAACCACCTACCTGCCCTGCAGGACAGGAGGCAGACTTGCTGAATGAGAGCCTTTTCCCAAGACTTTTATCTGAATCTGAGAAAAACAACACGCACAAATTTCCTATCGTGGACCGACGCAGGGAGCCCTAAAGCCCAGCTCCCGTCCCAGCAGCCAGAGCTCCTCTGGAGAGCAGGAGCGCTCCTTTCAGCCCTGGCTCACCTCTCTGCTCCTCCAATAGCTCCATTGTCCTCTGGGGCTGCGGCAGCAGGACCTGAACCCCTTTCAGGAGCGTGAAGACAATGGT